AAAAACGGAAGAATTAAAAGTGAACAAAAGACAAAGCTGCGTGGCAGAATTCGAAAAGCCAAAACTTCACTGTAGATAAAGCTCCCTAAAATTAATGTTATATATAATTGGTTTATTTTAATCAAATTGAACACGTGGGAATAATTAATTTCCAATGCGTGATCACAAATCAAGGATTGTTTTATTCTTAGGTATTTTCAATGAGTCGCTCGTAGGAAACCCCCAATGGGGTAGTCTTATAATAGGGAGATACCATTATAAAAACAGACTTTTAATTAAATTCATTTGAAATTTGATTTATTTATTTATTTATTTATAAAAGCAGTTCTAAATTTCTAACAATCTTTTAACCATTTAGTGTTATATTGTTCTATAAAAATGATAAAAAAAACATTATACTTTATGACATTATATGGTTTTTTTCGAAAAAAATATAAAATATAAAGGTTTTTTTATTAGATATCATAATGAATGGTCTTTATGTAATGTTTTTTTTTGAAAAAACTTATAAATCTTACATCGCCTTTTTGGAATTTTTTATAATGCCTACTATACTTCCAAATAATAAAATTATCAAAATTATCAAACAACCCAAAATAACCAATCAACTCATAGTTGTTAATATCCCAATCTTAAGATTTTACAATTTTAAAATCCTACAAGCTAAAAACGATTTCGATCTCACTAAGATCTATCTAAACCATGATCTATAGTATGATCTTAAAATCTTAATACAATCCGATTCCACATTTTATAGTTTTATTATATAGACGAGTCTCAAAAACCCGCCTATTCAACTTCAAACCGAGTATCAAAAGTTGCAAGAAGTCACATAAAGTAATCACTTCATCAATTCACCTTGAATTAAACAGGTTACACTCCATGATATTCCCTTTGTCATCTTAAGCCTTTGTTATATAATATCATAATGATCTTGTTTCTTTTTTAATTAAAATATTTTTTTTTCCTAATTTTTATGATTTACAACAACATAAATTATGGTTCATACTTAAGAAGTTAAAATTGCTTCCACAACAATATCTTAATCAACATTAAGATATATACTACACCCAAACTTTACAAACAAATCTGAATATGAGTTAATTTGATCTCGTAAAAGTTAAAACAAACTTGATTTTAAGTTATTATATTTACAATATCACCCCTCCGTTTTAACACATTTATGTAAATCAAGCCCAATAAATAATGATAAAGGGTTAGGTAAGATAAGAACTAACAACTAAGAAACGTAAGTTACAAGTAAAAATACACCCCAATGTTTAAGCCCAAATCTTAAGCCAAGCCCAAACCCATTATTGATTTTCAAAGTTAGAAAGCCCAAGTGTTACTTGTTGTAAAATATAAACTCACACGTCAGAATAAAAACCACCTCTATTTTTATTTTGTTTTGTGATTTCGATCGCTACTATAAAACCCACGATATACTGAATTATAAATGTAGTGTCACGTAAATTCAATTACAATTACTCCTACAATACAAAAAATTTCTTCACCTCTTCGTTTCTCTTCTCAAACTGGTTTTGTTTTTGCTAAAACAACCAGACTTCGATCTAAAGGCAACACAACTTGTTTGATTTTGTTCGGTGCTTAGATCTTCCCCAATTTGTGTTCCCTGAGGGTTATAATACTTCCACAGGTAATCTTTTCTCTTTGTTCTTTGTTAATGTCATAAAAACCGATTTACTATTAGCAATTTGTTTGTGATTGTTGCTTATTTTTAACAAGACTTGTTATGTGATTGTTTTCTTTAAGGGATGAAACGATTGCGCGATGATGTATTTAGTAACAACTCTCAATTCAAGCGGCCATTTGTTTCTCCTCGAGGGGAACCACCGTAAGATTTCTCTTTTTTCTTTTTCTTTTATTGAATTGAATTTATTCTCTACTTTTGTTTGTTTATCGTGTTTGATTATGTTCAAATGTGTCTGTGATGGTTTATTTTTGGCTTAGATGTTTTTTTTTTCGCTTAAATCGTTTGACTTTGAATTTGTTTGAAGTTTATGTAGGGCTAATTCTGAAATTTTTGGATCTATATCGTGTTTGATATTGTCGTGCATCAATTTTTGTAATTGAACTGATTTGGTTTTTGGGTCACATCTACCATAAAACCTTGAATAGACTGTGGTATTTGATATTTTCTTATCTGGATATGAACCATATCATGTTAAATTTCTTATTTTTGTGCATAATTTTTTGTTATTACCACCAGAAATCAACAAGTGCACTTTAGATTTTTGTTCCTTGTATTTTAGGGTTTGGGGGTTATGTTTAAAGGATTGCATGTGCAATTTACAACTTTTTTTTAAACATATGATATGCTATGATATACCAAGATAACTCACTTATACTTTTATTTTCTGTTTGAAGATATGGTCAACCTCATGTCCCTGGAGATGAAGGAGTAGGGGAGGTAGGGGGAGGGGCGGGTGCAGGAGGAGGAGGAGGTGGCGGTGGTGGTGGCGGCGGCGGGGCAGGAGGTGGTAGTAGTGCACAAAAACTCACCACCAATGATGCATTAACATATCTAAAAGAAGTTAAAGACATGTTCCATGACCAAAGAGAAAAATATGACATGTTTCTTGATGTAATGAAAGATTTCAAAGCTCAAAGGTACATAAATATTTAATCAAAAGTTTTGCTTTTGACATTAAAATGATATATATATTGTGACTCATTTGATTACTTATTTGGTGCAGAATCGATACTACTGGTGTTATCGCAAGGGTCAAAGCATTATTTAAAGGGCACAATAATTTAATTTTTGGGTTCAACACTTTTTTGCCCAAAGGATATGAAATTACTGTAATTGAAGAGGACGAGCCTCCACCAAAAAGAACAGTAGAGTTTGAAGAGGCTATAAGCTTTGTAAACAAAATAAAGGTGAAATCACAAATTTTATATGTCAACATTTAATTTATAATAATATGTACATTCTAATGTTTATGGTTTTCAGAATCGTTTCCAAAACGATGATCGCGTTTACAAGTCATTTTTGGAAATCTTGAACATGTATCGAAGAGAACACAAGGGCATCAAAGAAGTCTACCATGAGGTGATCTTCTGTAAGCTTTTCCTCAAAATGATATAGTATTAACCAATAAACTTGGTTGGAATAATAATAAACTTAAACTTAAGTCTTAAACAAACACAAATAGACAAGATTTTTGTCTCACTTTTTTATCATTTATCTATCCAGGTTGCCTCACTTTTTGAAGATCAACGCGATCTTCTTGATGAATTCACAAGATTTTTACCAGATGCTTCTGCACATCATGCTTCACTTGGTAGACATTCTTATAACCGTTATGATGAACGAAGCTCAGCTATGACTCCACTCAAACAAACACAATTAGACAAGGTAAGTTTATTTATTTATTTATTTATTTTTTATGAGGGACTAACCTTTTGATGGAATTAGCAACGAAACCGGAGAGATAGGGGCATTGTTTCACATGCTGATAGGGATCTTGAAAACCGTGATATTGATGAAGATGATAAAACAGCAATGAGACTTCAAAAAGATCAAAGAAAGAGATCTGAGAATCAGAATAGGAGAAATTCTGATCAAGATTATAAAGAGACTCATCTTGATACTAATAACAAGAAGGATGACATGATTCGTCTTGAAAAAAGAAAATCTGAAGATTTTGGAGTCCATTCAGGTTCTGCTCCATATGGTGATAAAGATGCCCTAAAAAGTGAGTCAACTCTTTTAATGTGTATATCTTTATCAAGACATTGTGGTATTTATTTAATTAATTATTTATTTACAGATATGTACAGTGCAGAATTTAGTTTCTGTGAGAAAGTGAAGGATAGGTTACGTAATCATGATGATTATCAAGCATTCTTGAAGTGTCTTCATATCTACACCACTGATATAATTACAAGAAAGGAATTGCAAAGCTTGGTATGTAAATATATGCTCTTTTTATTTAATGTATTAAATATTGGAATACAGTTTAATATTTGCAACTTTTTTTTTTCTTTAAGGTTTCTGATCTACTTGGAAAGCACCCGGATCTTATGGAAGGGTTTAGAACATTTTTGGGGGGAAATATAGGTGAAAGTCAAACTTACCTAGTCAACTTTTGAATAATTACTTTTTTACCCTTTAATCACCCCTTGGTTGACACTTGACACTTATCTTGTTTCCAGATGGATTTCTCGCCGGTGTTATGGACAAAAGTAAATTTTTTTTTTCTCAATTTACAGTTTTATAATTGATTCTTTATTGGCTGAAATTCAATTTTTTTTTTTTTTGACAGAATCTTTATGGAATGAAGGGCATGCATCGAAATCAACTAGGACAGATGAGAAAGAGAGGGATCATAATGCTGCAAAAGAGGACAAATACAAAGAGAAATATTGGGCAAAATCTATTCAAGAACTCGACTTATCTGATTGTCAACGTTGTACTCCTAGTTACAGACTTCTTCCTGATGACGTCAGTCTATATTTCACCTTTTTTCACTTTTCTTTTTCATTTTGTAAATTGTTTTATATTAATTTTTTTAATGTTTTACAGTATCCAATCCCATCAGTTAGTCAAAGATCAGAACTTGGTACTCAAGTGTTAAATGATTTATGGGTGTCTGTGACTTCTGGTAGTGAGGATTATTCTTTTAAACATATGCGTAGAAACCAATATGAAGAGAGTCTCTTCAGATGTGAGGATGACAGGTATTTTTAAAGAATGATTAAAAAGAAAAAAAGATATATTATTATTTTTTTATAAAGGGACTTATTGTTTTTATGATTCCACCAGGTTTGAACTAGATATGTTGTTGGAATCTGTAAGTTCAACTGCAAAACGTGTTGAGGAATTATTGAACAGCATTAACAACAAGACAATCACTCCAGAAACTCCCATCCGTATAGAAGACCACTTCACTGGTATTTATTAGTATTATTTAAAGTAAATTACATTTTTGGTATTATTTATTTATTTTTTTTTATAAAATATTTGGTCCCAAAAAGTTCTCTTGCAGTTTTAGTCCTTATTCGATGTTTTGTATTTATTTAGACCCACCCTGAATAGTTAAATCTAACTACTTGTCTGTTAGTTTTTTTTTACAAAATTACCATTTTACCCTTGGACCACAGGGTCTAGCAAAAAACAGTACCATAGGGGTCAAAAATGTAGTCTATTTTTTATGATTTGTAATTGTGTTTCTATGTTGTTCAAATGTAATGTTAGTAGCAAAATAATAAATTTTGTAATTACTTATATTAACAAATAGTTCAATACAGCATATACTAAATATATTATATGCCCCTTTTTTATTTTAACCAATAATAAGAGAAGAATACAAGTTTGATCCATGTGTTACTATTCTTTTTTCATGTTTCATCCCTATGGTCCAAGGGCAAAATGGGTTATTTAGAAAAACTAACAGACGTGTAGTTAGATTTAATGATTCATGGACCAAAAAATTGTTATGAAACATCGAAAAAGGGCCAAACTTGCAAATTTCAGCTATTCTCAGGGACCAAAAATGTAATTTACTCTATTCTAATACTTGATCATTTTTATAAAATTATTGTAGCTCTGAATTTGAGATGCATGGAGAGATTATATGGTGATCATGGTCTTGATGCCATGGAAACACTTAGAAGAAATCCATCAGCTTCATTGCCTGTTATGTTAAATCGCCTCAAACAGAAACAAGATGAGTGGACAAAATGTAAATCAGATTTTAATAAAGTTTGGGCTGAAATATATGCAAAAAATCATTACAAATCACTCGATCACCGAAGCTTCTATTTCAAGCAACAAGATTCAAAGAATCTCAGCATAAAATGTAACTAAACTTTGCTACTACTTTCTTTTTAAAAAAATCATGGGTGTGGAGTTTTAACTTTTAAAGACTTTTTTTTTTATTTTTTTTATTTTTTTATTATTGTTTTGAAAACAGCATTGGTGAGTGAGATTAAGGAAATAAAGGGAAAGAGTCAGACAGATGAAGATATTCTTCTTTCCATTGCTGCTGGAAACCGACATTCCATCATGCCAAATCTTGAATTTGAATATTCTGATAATGATATTCATGAAGATGCATTCAAACTTATTAAATATTCATGTGAAGAGATTTGCACAACAAAAGAACAATCCAACAAAGTTTTGAATCTTTGGACAAGTTTCTTGGAAGCAATGCTTGGTGTCCAATCACGAGATGAATGCAGTGTGTCAGATTCAGGAAAGGGTATTTTGGTAAATGGAGATACTACTTTGGTAAAGGAAGATGGGCTTCAAGTTCAACCAGACAAACAGGGTGGTAAGAAGAACATGGGGATCAATTTGGAAATAGTTTTAGTAAACATGTATATATGCAATTAAATTAACTTGTGTTGTTTTTTTTTTTTTTTTAAATTTGGAAAATGGTTTTTGAAGGGCGTGAGGCGACTACTAGACCAAGTAATGCTACTGAAAATGGTCATGAAGCAAAGTCAAATATTCATGAGGTTCCTGTGTCACAGGTAAAACTTTATATCACCCATTTTTTTTATCTATGTTATTTTTAGTTAACATTTCTTTTATACAAATTGCTAGATGAATATATTTTTTGAGGAAAAGTTGTGAGAAACCATTATTTTAAAAAATATAAATTTCTTTACTTTGTGTATTAAGTTAAAAAAATAATTTATTTTATTTAGAAATTGCAGCCCATGGATAGTAGTAGTATAAGATGTATAACAATGGGAAATGGAAATCCTGGTGAGTCATCAAAAGTGGAGAAAGAAGAGGGGGAATTATCACCTAATCATGATTCAGATGAGGTCAATTTTTCAACCTATCAAGACAATGAGAATGGGACACATAAAGGGGAATTGGAAGCAGATGGTGAGGATGAAGACAGTGAAGATGTTTCCGGTGGCGGTGATGACATCTCCGGCGATGAATCCGGTGGTTCCAGGGAGGAGGAGCATGAGGATGAGGAGGAGGAGGAATGTAAACCGGAAAGTGAAAGAGAAGGGAATGGAATTGAGGATTCCGTGTATTTATTACCACCATCTGAGCATTTTTTACGGACCGTTAAGCCCTTGGCGAAATGTGTAGCTTCTTCTTCTTCTTCTTCAAGTGGTGGTGAAAAAAAAGATTCCCGTGTTTTTTACGGGAATGATGCGTTTTATACACTTTTTAGGCTTCATCAAGTAAGAATTCGTTTTTATTTTTATTTATTTTTATCTGTTTTGCTTGATGGAATGGAATGGACAATTCCCCAAGGAATCCAATTCCTTCCATTTTGTTAAGCTTTGTTGCTTAGGCAAAGGTTCCATCATGGAATGGATTTCAATATTTTAATGCATCCTTTTTTATTTATGAAACTTTTAATTACACAATGTTTTTTTAAAATTTTATGATTTTAAACTTTTTTCCAAAAAAAAAAACGTTTTCAGTACTACTTTTTTGACTTTGATAAAAAAAAAGTGTTATTACATCTGATTATCTGATTCTTGATTATTCAATATCACAATCGCTTCCAGAATGCAAATCCAAACACCCTTTTTGTTTCTTTATATCTTTACTTTATGTCTTTATCAAATATTATATTTTATTATCAATTTTCTTTCAGGTATTATACGACAGACTTTTATCTGCAAAGCTCAATTCAATATCAGCTGAAGCAAAACGAAAAACCACAAAAGATTCTTCCCCTTCTGATCTTTACTCCATGTAATAATTCAACTTTAAATATATATTCTTCTTAAATAAAACATTATATTATTATTAGTTTATTATATCAAATCTTGACCTCTAATGCGATACCATTATGATTCATTATAACAGATTTATGACCTCTCTTTACAAATTACTTGATGGTGTTGCTGACAATGCAAAATTCGAAGACGATTGTCGCGCCATTTTTGGAAATCAATCATATATTTTATTCACATTGGATAAACTAATTTACAAAATCGTCAAACAGGTATTTATTTCTCTACACTTTTTTTTTCCTCATTTTTTTAATAAAGTTGTAATTTAAATTATCTAATTACTCCCTTGTGTGTGCAGCTTCAAAGTGTTGTAGGTGACGAGATCGATAATAAACTTCTACAATTATATGAATACGAAAAATCTCGAAAACCCGAGAAATTTATCGATTCGGTATATTACGAAAACGCCCATGTTGTCCTTCATGATGAGAATATTTACAGATTTCAATGTGTAAGTTGTATTTTTTTTTTTTTTTTTTTTTTTGTTTTTAAAATTACTGTATATTTGGTGAGGCCTTATTTATTTATTTATTTTGTTACAGTCATCTTGGCCTTCTCGTTTGACTATTCAACTAATGGATGATGGGATTGAAAAACCAGAAGTGGTTCCAGTTTCTGTAGATTCTAATTTTGCAGCTTATCTTCATAAAGATTTTCTTTCTGCTGTTAATGCAAAAAAACAATCGGGCATTATGTTGAAAAGGTAACAAAATAAAATCATTCTACTTTTCTTATTAAGATATTGTATTTTGAAAAATCTACCAAATTATAGACATTCTACTTTTGTTATTTGTGTATTATTTATGGTATAATAAAATTTGAATGGAAACATACGAACAGAAATAAAAGGCGATTCATGGAGATGGATGAATCTTGTGCTTTATCGGTTGCCATGGAAGGTGCTCATGTGGTGAATGGTTTGGAGTATAAGATGTCTTGTTGCTCATCAAAGGTACAATTTATTTTTTATAAAATAATTTAATCTACATAAATAAATACAAAATCATATAATGGATTTAATATGAAATGGCAGATATCGTATGTTCTGGATACAGAAGATGACTTTTTTCGAGAAAGACGAAAAAGTCCATCATCATGTGGGAATAAAAGTCAAACAAATGTAGAAAGGTTTCACAGATTCTTAGATGCCTCACTAGCAAAAGAGTAGAGGGGCTTAGTTTAGGGTTTGTTCACTTGTGTACAGAGATTGTTAATTTGATAATTTGGTATACGATAACATTAAGAACAATTTTGTTACTTATAAGTTAATTTTATTTTATTTTTTATTTTTGCTAATTTCCAAGTCTTCTTTTTACGTCTTTTTATATGAGTAAACTGATATATCGTATAACCCATTTAAATACATTATTAGTGTTATGATTTAAGTGATATTAATGGGCTGATGTTTTCTAAAAACCAAAGGTAAGGGTTGTGTTGAAAAAAATCACTCATTTTGTAGGAACCAAATTTAATAATTAACAGTATATTAGAAATAATAAAAGAGCTAAATTCAAGAAAATAAAAGGCATTTTTTTTGTGGGTATTATAGCATCCTACTTTTTATTTTTTATTTGGGCAAATAACATAAAATTCAAAGTTTGTCAATGAAGCCACCCATGTTTGAAAATTCTTTTGTATCACTCTGATAAGATGTGATTTGCTATAGGTTATAGCAGGTTAAACTCTAAGCGACCACAATAGAAAATTTTGTCAAACATTAATGGTTTTAATGGAATATTTATTGTTAAAATATTCACCGAAATCACTAAACTTAATTTTTTTTTCTTACTGTAACCATTAATGTTAAAAGTGGTCTATGTAGTGAAAAAACTATAAAATTTGGTCGACCAAAATGTTAGCGACTTTTTATAGTTTGCTCTTTTGTTTTTGTTATATTTTCAATTTTGGAAAATCTGTAGAAAATCCTAATATTTGAATTTTTTTTTCATAAAGTCCTAATATATATATATATATATATATATATATATATATATATATATATATATATATATATAGGCTTAGGTTATTCTATTCAAAGTAATTATTGTATTATTGTATGCATAAATGTGGGCCAATCATTTTACATATTTTAAGAAAGTGATTAATACATATTATTGAATTAAATATAATTGAAAAATACCATCTAATTTAACTAGAAGAGTATTTTAGTCAATTAATATAGATTTAATAAAGGAAATTTGCATATTTTAAGGGATCATAAATTCTATTAATTTTAAAAATCCGATTTTACGAATTACCTGATTTTTTAATTAATTCAATTTTAATTCTAACGTATTTTTTAATTCTATCCGATTGTATTCTGTCAGAATGATATTTTGTTAGAATAATATTTTATAAGAACGTTAGGATACACATTTCTGACAGAATACATATTTTTATTAAACAAACTTCTTGAAAAATGACAACAATCTTGAACCATAGTTGAAAAATAACAAGATCCTTATATATTCACCAACATCAGAAATTTGATTCAT